CACAGCATACCTACACACATATTAAGATACATGTATTATTTATAATAATACTGTTCCTGTTTAATGTATTTTAATAATATTTTAATTTGTATATCATTTTGATATAAGACAGAGCAACGAAAAGATAGTGTTTGTAGCTTAATAAGCTCATTAATAATTGCTCCATCTTACATCAGGTATACATTTTCTCATAAATGTGAGACAGGTATAATTCCTTTGTTTACTTCCCTTTGTCTTACAACTCACCTGTCCCTTCTAACAAATACCATATATTCATATTCTACTGTTTATATAAACATGGACAAGAAGGGTATGATTTATTAGGAAACATGGTTTAAATAACTGGCTAATGTATCCATATCCACATAGAATACTTTATATCATTTGTAATTTGGAAGAAATGGAGAGGAGAATTAACTACTCATTAGAAAAATCACTGAGGTATCCTGTGGCTCTAGGATACGTCATTTTCTTTGGCCAAGAAGGTAACACCCAAAAGATCATAAACAATAACTTTCATAATGAAGAAAATTACAAACTATTAGAGAAAAATAAGGGCAAGGTGAATTTAGCAAATTCTTCTGGCAGAGTTCTTCTTAAGTACACTGTTATAATATGGTTGTCATCCCTATACACAGTACACTTATCATCAGTCTAATCATGGTTCCTTGAAACACAGCACCACTGATAAGTAAGAGGAAAAAAAATCCCAGGGGAAAAACACCCGTGGCTTGACCTGGCTAGAATTCTTCAAATGTCCCTAGGTTCCGAAGGATTGGTGTGGGAACCACAAGTCCTCCAGGAGGAGTCAGGCTTGGGTGGCTGTTTTTCTCTTCCCAGAGCTGTTTGCCACTTCGACCTGGGCAGGCGAGGGGAAAGGCCAGGCACACTGCCCTCACAGCCCTTTTCTCTGAGGGAAACTGGGGCAGAGCCAACACGGCATTTAAATTCCCTCAACTGGAAAGCATGTCAACTAGAGCAAAGGCCCTTCACCCAGGAGTAAAGTGCTTGATCGAAGCCAAAGTCAGGAAATTAGTAATTAGACTGGATTGCAGGGTAGCATGGGACTTTCAGAAAGGTGTGAATATGAGTGTTCTCAATGGGGCTCTGTTCATTACTAAGAGGAATGCTGTTCTAATGGAGAATGAGATGAGTGGGACAGGGTCCAGTTTTGTTTTCAAACTAAGCTAAGTGAAATGAGAGTGAGCAGGGAGCTACAGGGAAGCTGTAGCTTACCAAGAACAAATGACTTCTAGAGGAACACTTTGATGATCTTTTCCCCCTGGAAATCCAGGGTCATGAAGGAACTGCTGGAGACAGATGAGAAAATGTAGGGAGCTGACTATGAGAAGGTAAGTCTGCTATGGAGAGAAGGATAACTTCAGTCTGGACTACTCATCTATGCTCTGAAGGGTATGTGGAGGTCTATTACTCCCTCCACAGGCCAGGCTCCAGCTGGGCCTGGAGCTGCCCTTTCCTCTTCCTGGGAGCCTTGTCTGCATTCTGCACAATCAAGGCTGGTGCTCAAAACACACAAGTAGGCATGACCAGGACTTTTGCAGGCAGAAAAGAAGCAAAATCTCCAAATACTAAGCAGTAAAGGGGACTGGAACGATTCAGTTGACAGGAACATCCCTTCTGTCTTTGTTAAAATGCAGTCGGCTGAATCAGAAACAGGAAAATTCTTCAGTGCACATTGTACTACCTTTCCATCTTCCAGTGAGAACACAAAAACCATAAAACCATATAACTATTAGAAAACATTGAAAATCTAGTAATATTCCTATATGTGAAAAACAATTATGTAACTTTAACTTAGGAAAACCTTTCTCTATGTTTTTTTGTTAATCTACTTATAAAACAGCAATACTTTAGTCACTTTAGAATATTTTTTGATGAATGAAATCCTTGATTCACATTTTAGGATGGTAAAAAATAAGTTTATAAACAAGAAATAGGCAGCTGGGCGTGGAAAGGGGGCATTTTCCTATAAATATGTCAATAAGTCCATCGATTTCTATACATATAAACCAACACCAAACCTACTGCCGTCAAGTAAATTCCTACTCATAGCGACCCTATAGAAAGAAGTAGAACTGCCCCATAGGGTTTCCAAGGAGCAGCTGCTGGATTTAAACTGTCGACCTTTTAGTTAGCAGCCAAGCTCTTAACCACTACGCCACCAGGGCTCCTCTATACGTATAACCACCCACAAAAACACATGGGTCATTGACATAAATCTAATGTCATTTTAGTGAATATATTTTCAGAGATGTACACATCTCTTTACAATGGCAATACATTTGAATCACACCTGCGCTCCTGAAATATAGCCATTTTAGTCATGATGTGGCATTGTTTTAACGAACTGCTGGATTTAGATGACTACTATTTCAGTTGGAACTTTTATATCACATTCATTAAAGAAACTGGTCAACATCAGAGGGGTAGGGCCAGAAACACATTAAATACTTTTTCAATTCAAGTGATTGAAAACAATTTTCCAAGACCAAGATGGAAAGTCAATTCACTTAAACATTAAACAAAAGAAATAAATAAATTCTGAAAAATTAAGAAATCATATACCTGAAGAATTACTTCATTAAGTCGTTCTAGCGACTCCTGATTTTCCTTAGTTTTATCAAGAAGCGAAGCCACTGTTGGACTGTGGCATATAATTGTTTTATCCTTATCCTGGAGACATCTTTTTGCTTCTTCCATCAAAAGAAGAGAAAGGAATTGCAGGCTGGTAATACATAGGGTAGGGCATGTGGCAGACAAACCCACACATTTGCAGAACATATCTAAAAGAGAGAATAATTTCAGATTATCTGTTTAAAAATTTCTTTAAAATTAAACAAAGAAGAAATGAATCAGATAAATTTGAGTTATTAATAATATAGCTTTTTTTTATTTCCATGAAGTAAAGCTATCAATAGTTCAAGTACCACAAGAATAACTAGCGTTTAAAAGTATGTTAAATAAGTCAGTATTAAGACAATATACTGACTCAAGAAATCTATTTGATTTTCATTTAATTTGGGTTCTTTTTTATATGACAGAGTGAGTGAGTCAGTCTGTATGTGTGGGTCTCATTTGCTAAGACCCAAAGTGAGAGGATTATACAGTTGGTGAGTATATATCCTTGTGGTCCTCTGAGGTCTACTGGAATTCACAAGGACTTCTCCAGAATTTTTAACTTCTTTGATTTTAGGGCTAACGTAACAAAAATTTAATAGAAATATACTCTGGATTACCTAGATTATCATCTTATAACTGTGGTTGTATTTCTGTTTTCAAACAAGTTGATGCCAAACAGTACTTAAAAGTAAGACTTAGTATGCAGTGTTGGCATGTGAAGGAGCAAAGGCTTCATGGTAATTAAAACAGATATGAGAGGTTAAGAACTGATTTGCAAACATAAAACATGAAGTATAAAGAATACGCAAGCCAAACTTTAAAAGACTCTACACCAAATCAGTCATTATTAATTTCCTATTGTGAGCACTGATTTAGTCTAATTTAAAATAACATTTGTTATATTACATTAATTTTATTCGAGTATCATTTGTTTTGTGATTTGGTTGTATTTTATTTTTAAATTATTTTGGATTTATAGTTGAATAAGTTATTACTATAAAAATTTATCCAGGGGTCTGGGGACCATGGTTTCAGGGGACAAGCAGGTCAACTGTCAT